CATTGGCCAGCACCAGCCAGAGATGCCCCATTTTAAAGCTTAAGTCCATTTTAAAGTTCCCGTTCCTCCAGGACGAGCTTTCGTATCTTTTATTTATTTATATTTTTATTTGCTAGTTGTGCTTTTTTGTTTTTGATTTCATGCAAGGTCAAGAGCAACATGGCCAGACCTTTTTCTAAGGGACGAGTACCTGGGGTATGGGAGAATAAGTCTCCTCACAGAGGAAGCGAAAGGGCCCCTTCCCTCATTCTTTCGTCCCTCATGGTGCCGTTTTCCAGACCGTCTGATCCAGGTTTTCCAGGTCGCCAATATCAGGGTTCGTTTTATGAATTAGTGCGGTCAGGTCAACGGGAACACACCAGAAGAAACATAACAGGTTTTACTACTATGTCACTGTTTACACACAACAAAACAGGATATTTACAATACCATTATGAGTTATCGACTACTATAAGTACTTTATGAACAACATTAACTGTTGTTATACATCTGACATGATAGCTGTTATTTGAAGAGGTATACTATGTCTCGGTATTAAATGATGTGATAGAACCGAATTAATTTCGGGAAACATTTTTTTTATTAGAAAGAAAAGACAGTGAGGTCAAGAGGCTATTTGTAACACTAATTTTGGAAATTGGTAGGGGTAAGGGAAACAGTATTACTTTTTTAAATAATGTGATACTGATTTCAGCATTAAGAAAAGTGGTCGGAGAGGGGGGGGGGTAGGCAGGAGGGAATCTAAAAGAGACTATTTGGTGAAGTTCTATACAGTGACTATTCCTGCAAGAACCCTCCTGTTTTCATTTAGAGTGTCTCTTTTGTTCAATTTCTCGCTGCATATGATTCGTTAAGTTAACAGAGAAAGAGGTGCTGATACAACATTACAGATGAGTGAACAGGGACGAAATCGTGATAGAACACTTTTGTCAATAAAATCTCTGCTCTGTACAGGTAATGAATACGTGCCCGAGTGAGTGATTCCATGGACTATTATACTTTGGGCATCATATATACGTATGTATGTATATATATATACATACACACACATAATACATATACATATATATATGCACACATACACACACACACACATTTACATATATATTATTTCTGTGCCGTCACCGAAGCAGTATTTGGCGAACTATTTGGCACCATTGTCAAGCTTTGCTCCAGAGGGATCGAAGTGTTTGTGTATTGAAATTGTCAAGGAATATTTTTGTAGGTCTAACTCGAGCTTGCTTGCCTTCAATTTTACCGCTTAGGCTAAAGTTTTCTAGTGTGTTTTTACGGATTGCATGTCCGAGGAAGTTTAGTTATACTTGGATCAATTCTAGGAGTTCGCGTCCTTGTCCGACTTTTCTGAAAATCTCCTCATTGGATACTCGATCGGTGTAAGGGGTACGCAACATTCGGCGGCAGAACCACATTTCTGCAGCCTTTATATTACACCGAGTTTCAGCCCTCAGTGTTTAGAAATCGCAATCATATAGGACAGTCGACCAGGCAAAGGTCTGTTTGGATGTTCCGGAGTTTGGAAAATGCATATTTTGCTAGTCCAATTCTGCGTTTGATTTCCTAGCAACGAGCATCTGGGGTGACACGAGCTCGTAAATAATTGAAGGAGGAGACCTGCTGTATTTCTATTTCTCCTTGTTTCAATGCACAAAGGGGAGCCCTCATGGTGTTAGAGGACTTCAATGCTGTCACTGGCTCTGGTACTAGGAACATCAGTAGCTCATACCTCATAGACTTCGTAAGACCTAGGAGGCTGAGGATTGCGGGCTTGTGGTACCAGAGACGAGATATATACCGTTGGACTTGGTACTCCAATACTGGCGTTGTAGCTAAAGAGATCGACCATATTCTTGTGGATACTTGCTGGAGGCTCAAGTGTGAGGAGGTGGCTCAGGAGTATGTAGTGGGAGTCTCAAATTGGTTTGAAATGCTTGGCACTCTACAGGACCCTGCTGAACTGTGGGATACCTTTAAGCGGGAAACTCTGTCAGCTGCCGAGGAGTGCCTTGGGGTCCGACCTCGGCGAAGGAGGCGTGTTGTCTCGGATGAGACACTGAACACTATAGAGATGAGTCGTGCTGCAAGACTGGATGGGAACCATGTCTTGCACAGGGAGTTGTCTCGTTCTGCTAGGACCTCTTTGAGAATGGACCAAGAGAGGGACATTATGCAAGAGTTGGATGGTCATTTTGCCCAAAATTACTTTCGACCTGCTTCCTGAGGTCTGAGGGAACTCCGGTCAAAGTCCATCTCACAACTGGGCTCGGTGAGGGCAGAGGATGGTCGCATTGTGTCAAGAGCCAGGTGAGTACTTTGAGCAACTGTATAGGGTAGATCACCCGTCTTCACAACTCCCGTTGGCTGGCACACAGTCACTAGTGGCTGATCCACCAATCAGTGAGGCACCACCTTCCATCGAAGAGTAAGAAGGGCGGTCTCTAGGCTGAAGAGTGGAAAGGCTGCTGGTGTCTGTGGGATTGCT